TCAGCAGTTTGAAATGGTCCATTTCGGATTGTAGCTCTTTGTTGAATTCGTGTTGCATTCTGTTGGAAAAGTTTGCACTATGCGTGTAGCAATAACTCCTCCCCATATAGCCATTGTGATTCATTCCAAAAGAAGAGTCAAACTTATATAACTTTTCTTTTCGATAGATCCACAAACAAAATATTTGCATTTCGCAATTAACATCACACTTTATGCATATAAAAATAAACATCACCAATATTTGCAAGTGGCTTATCCATCTATGCCAGCGATGTTGGACACCATGACATGAACATAACATGACATGGGGGTCCACGGGTCACATTGACGGCATTCCTCATGCATGGGTCCTCGAACACATATATGGCATAAGATTCATGCATGGGTGAAACACCAAAACCCCAATCATGTAGGAGGGATGGGGAATTGAGGATTCAGTGTATATCACATTAAGTAGAATGAGAGCGACTTCAGAGTAATAGTTAGAAAAAAAAAGGGTAGAGTTTGAGTAGCCAGTGGGTCACTCATGTCTTTGAAAAGTAATCATTAATTTGCAAATGTACATTTATAGATAGTAAATTTCAATTTTAAATTAGCTAATGTATAAATTAAATATTACATTTGCAAATGTTTTCATTACAATATTATACATGTTTTCAGTCCAATAATTAAAAAAAACATTTATATTTAATTTATTTTTAGTATAAATTTAAAGAAAGCATAATACTTTTTGTAATTTTAATTGATATAAAATAAAAATTCAATTCTAAAAAAAACTAAGTGTATTTGAAGACGACATGGTGAAATTCTAACTGATTAGCCTAAAAGAGAAAGATGTTTATAGAGGTGAAAATACAGAGATTAAAAGAGAAATATGTTTATCTAATTGTTATAGTTTTCATATGTTTATAAAAAATTTCCAACGTCCTCTGTTATCTAATTATACTATTCAGATTTATTTATTTTTTCTATTTAAAAACATCCCACTCAGTCGTTAATCAGAATCTGGATGTTGATATTCACATAATTTTTTAAACAAAATACTATTACAGTTTATAATATTATATAATTGTTTTGAATTTTGTGATTTTTATATTACTTTCAAGTGTGAAATCTATAGTGTGCTTTTGGTAAAGAAATTTTAGTATTTCCATATAAGAATAATATATTGTTTATAAAATAAATTATAATTTTTTATTTATATACTTCGGCGTAAAATTAATGTTGATAAACTCTAGGAAGGAATTTTGAAGCCTCTTTAAATTAAATCAATAAAATACAAACATGTGTATATCATTATTTATATTACTTTTATATATTAAGATACACAAAAATAAGAAGAAACAAAATTATAAATTGTAATAAAATAAAATATTAATTTTAAAAATATATTATGATAAATAATGCAATATAATTATGATATTATAAGATTAATTAATATAACTAATGATTAAAATATTAAATCAAGTTTTTATAACATATATTATGAAAATATATTCAATTTGAGCAAAAAAAAACACCTTATATTATCTCACTTTTATTTATAAAGATACATATAAAAATTAAATAAATAGCACCTTAGTATAAGATAATTATGACATGAAATATTAAACGAAGACATGATAAAGTATAATATTGGGTAATAATTGAAAACTAGTTAATGTAATTAATATTTGCATGAGAATTGTATTTTAATTAAAATATTAAAATACATTTTACAAATATATTTTCAATTTGAATGTAGGAAATTTTTCATAAACTACTTTGTTTTTATATATATAATTTTGCTAAGTATAATCGGCGGTGAAAGAATCTTACATTATTGAATGAGATTAAAATAATAATAATAAAATTATAGGTTTAAGCTAAATATTTTAAATTTTAAATAAAAAATAGGAAATTTTTAATAATACATAAATTCTAATTTTAAAAGAAATATCAAAACTATTTACTGCATTTTCTTAAATAATACATATAGTTTTCTATATATTTAATCTTTTTATAAAAAAAATATAATTTTAATTTTATTCAAAACATAAAAAATATAATTACATGCATAAATACATATACCACTTTTTATTTATCCGTTATATTTATCCGTTAGTTTAACAGTTAATTCTAACAAACACTTATAATTCAATAAAGTCAATTAAAAAACATTTTAACATTCAGCTAATTTATTATTTATTTTTACAAATATAAAATGTTGATGTTTAGCAAAAAAAAAAACTATTTAATATTTTGTTTATTTATATGTGATTAAATTGTATGCTCCCTTTTTTTTTTTTAAGAAAACAAGAGAAAGCACTTCTTAACAACATGTGAATTCCAAATTAAAAAGATAGAAAATAGGAAAATAAATTAAAGCTGGTGAATCCTAGTGTAGACTGTAGAGCTACCAATGTATGATAATCCAAACACTTAAAACAAAATTTGCAGAAACAATCGTGAAGGCCATCGACAAAATTAAAGTTCATACCTTGGCAAACACTTTTCTTTTTTCGTGACAATAAGTCGTTGATTTGATCATTCTATGGACATTGTGGCATCCCACCGTCTTTGTCTTACGTATAATTAACCGTCATCACAACCACCTTTGAATAATTATACACCCTCGTTTATTTGCAGCTTGTCCATAACTTAGGCGTGCAATGAAATAGCTTTTTTCCAAAACAGTGTAAATATTAAGTCCACTGTGGTGGTTTAAATATGAAAATCTCCAGAGAAACAAAGATGATTTGATGTCCCTAAAAGTGAGGTCATTAATATAATAAAGTTTAATAATTTTATAAATTATATATTTGTTAGAAGAGTTAATCTGATATATGCTATGAATATTTTTAATTAAATAAATTTAATTATTTCTTATTTAGTGTATGACAGTAAATACAAACATGGTCATATGTATTATCTTACGTACATTCGATAATCCTAAGTTTCAAACCCTGCCAAACCTTATCCTGAATAGTGGCAAAATGTGCCCAACACAATTGCCATAACCATTTCAGCACAAGAAATCTTGGCAGCTGGCTGGGGAGGCTACGACTGCATGAGCAAATGTGGATTGTTGAAAATTTTAAGAATCATACGTAAGAAGCCCGTTTTTTGATATCTGCAAGATAAAAGGGTCCAGAATTTGGATAGAGATTCTAGTTCGAGAAGGTGCTATTGTCTTAAATTTTGATCAAATTAATCTGAAAACAGTAATTTGTATTTGATAATGATAATTTAAAAGTGCTATAAATTACATTCAAACTGGAATAATATGTTTGGATTTGTATACATATTTATTTTAATTTTATCAATTATTATTTTTGCATTAGATCTACGGTTAAACAGGCATTAAATATGTATTATGAGTCCCACGTTTAAAATCAATTAAAGCTAAAAATGGGTAACTATCTCATAATTAATTAATTACAAAATTAATCTTAAAAATCGAAAAAATTTAACCAAACAGTCACGTTACCGTGAACATGATTTTGATAGGTTTCCAAACATGTTACTTGCAATAATGCAATAATAGAGATTGGGAAATGGAGAAGCAGGGAACCAACACTGCCCAATTTTGGACTCTGTTATTGTGGTCCAGATAGACAGAGACAATAGTTAGACGAATTGTTTCCTTCCTCTCATATTCTTGCTTTGCTCAAAATTTGACTATCACCTCCCCACTTGCATGTCCATTGTCATAAGGGTCGATGTCCTTTCTGGGCCATTATTATAAGGATGCAATTTAACCGCCATGAACACACATTAATATAAATTGTAAATGGGTTTTTTTAGTGTGTACTAAAAAACATATAATAAGAAAATAATAATAATAAAATTTTATAAACGTTACATAGTTTAATACATTAAAAATCATATATTAACATTCAATGTTGCATTTTTTAAAATAAAATATTATTTGTTAAAAAGGAGAGCAAACCCTTATTTCAAATTTCCAAATGTAGTGTCATTATTTTGACTCTGAAGATTTTTAACCGAAGTAGCTTGTCCTTGGTGATTGTTAATTTTAGAAAAAGTAAACATTTTTCTTTTAAAATATTGACAAAGAAAAAAGGTTATTTTGTTAAACAAGATAATGCAAACACGTACTAATTTAACTTCTAACCATGTGACTGTGAAGTCCTCAAAAGTTGGACAAACACAACTATGAATGGCTTCAAGTAAGCTAATTCCTCCTTGTTCTGTCTTGCGAAAATTTATAAAATAAATGTATCAACAATAGATTTAATTATAACCAAAGCCAAAGCCATGAACTGGTTTAGTTAATTTAGCTAGAGAAACCATTAAAAAGTTGTCCTTATTTATGTACCACTATACTGTCATTCAGTTTAAAATTTAATTAAGTTTTGTAAACTATATATATATATATATATATATATATATATATATATATATATAAATAAGAAGACAATTAAGCTTATGGTAGCAAATGAAATTTATGCACGAGAGGAGTGTCGAGTTGAAGCATGTGGATGAGATTTAAGTAAATTGATTTTATTTATTATTGGGCAAGATTTTTAAAGGATCGATCATTGAGGAGTTGCCAGTTACGGCTAATATGACAGATCTAAGCGAATGGAGACGGTTCAAATTCTAACATGGTCCGTTGTTTGTGAGTTATACTTATACGTGTGTGTTCTCCGTGTTTGCCGTGGAGCTTCCATCCAACCGCCCAATCTTTCATCTTTAAGCAACCAAGTTTTTGTTATTTTTTAAAAATAATCAGTGTATATAGTTAAAAATATATAAAAAAATTCATTAATATTATTTCATTATAATTCTGGTCCACTGGACCCATCACGAAGCATCGCAATTTTCTACACAAGCCTCCACGTGTTCTCGTGCACTTCCCCTCACTCAAAGGCAAACCACGCTATGGCCACAGTCAATCACGTCCACCCACGTGTCCACGCAGCACCAGATTACCCCTACCTCCATTCTCATTCCAAACCCTCTCTATAAATCTAACCTGACCCCAAGCCCAATATAACCCAGCACTCATTTTTATGTATATATAAAAAAAAACACCTCAGTTTTCTAGTGCGCTACACCCTGCTACTTCACCTTATAAAATCGCCGACACATTGAAACAGAGTCTAACCCTCTTTCCTTGGCTTTCACTCTATTGGTTCTATTTTTCATGCCTGCACTGGCGTATTTACGGTTATACCCTTCTGGTTATGATAGCTTCCAATCGGCGTGAGCCACAGAGCCGAAGCTCTTCTCTAGCTCTCGGCTTCCCTCGCCTCAGGTATTTTAGGTACCGTCGATTGAGGTACAGAGAAAGCCATCTAGCCAGCCGATCAGAAATTCGTTAAATTCCAGCTTTACCCTTCTCTGTAAATATATATATTTTCTTTTAACGGTTACTTCCATGCCGAACTCGAAGAACCACCGTAACGGCCAGTTTGAGAATCACCGGCGGGGGAAGTTAACGGAGAGATCATCCTCTTTCTACGGTCACACGCCGTCGTCGTCGTCCGCCATGGCCGGCGCGCAAATCCGGCGGCCGAAGACGGTGCCGGACCTACTGTCAGACAGGAAACGCGTGACCACGGCGGCCGCCGCGGAGGTTTTCCCTAGACAGCCGCCGAAGTTGTTGCTGAAGGTGACGACGATGGGAAGCCTGGGACCGGTGCAGGTGGTGATGACGCCGGAATCAACGGTCGGAGATTTAGTGGCGGCGACAGTGCGGCAATACGCGAAGGAAGGTCGCCGCCCAATCTTGCCGTCGAACGACCCTTCCAACTTCGACCTCCATTATTCTCAGTTCAGCTTAGAAAGTAAGCTTTTGTTAATCCTTAGTGAAGAAAGAAAAACAAATAAATCAGAGTATATTTTATATATTTATTTTTGTTTGAATGAAAAACTAAGATGTTTTCGGGTGCAGGTTTGGATAGGAAGGAGAAGCTAAGGGATATTGGATCTAGAAACTTCTTTCTGTGTCCGCGAAAGTGTGGTGGTGGTGGTGATGGTAATGCAACGACGCCGTTTGCTTCGTGTTCCAGAGAGGCTGAGAAAGCGAGCAAGGGCGGTGCGTTTGGTTGGTTAAGGTTCATGGATTTCTTACTGTGAAAATGATTCGAGGAAAGTGTGTTCCGTTTGGCGCTGCCAAACACTGTTATTAATTTGCAATCATTTTGATTTTTTTTAATTCGGAATGAATGTAAAAATAGGTGGGCCATTAGTTGTAGATTTGTGGGCATGGCAAAGCAACGCCGCATATTTGTCTTTATGAGATGATGCTCAGATTCTTATCTTTATGCTATTTCGTTCATTTTTCTCTTTTTTAAAGAATTTTTCTGCCTTTGTTTTTTGGTCTCTGGCTCTTTCTTTACCTGCTGCATGCGAAGCAATTCCATTGCGCAGGTATGAAATGGTTGTACCTTCTTACATAATCAAAGTTAGTGACGTTGATATTTACGATTCCATGAGTATAATTTATTCTTGCTCTGTACTCCATCACTTTACTTAACGGGAGTGGACATGTTGCAGTTCACGCTACGCTACTATAATATGTTGTGTGTGTTAAGTTTTTGTTTATTTCTCTCACAGATATTAATAAATATAAAATTAATACAATTGTGCACCCGAGAAGCTTGTCTTCTTATTCTGTAGTTGCTTTTTATATTAAATTTTTATTTTGTTATTTCAAATTTAATTTGATTTCATTTCATTTTAATATTATTCCGTATATTACTTCTGACTTTTACTCTCACATTGTCCTTTATCAAAATTATGCCCAAAGCTCTAAAATCACTACAAAAGAATTGTCATTTGTTAATTAGCATTTTGTTACTATATATATTGTTGAATAATAAAAATGTAATATAGATGTTATAAGTTTTATATTTACAGTATAATGCATTGTGTCAATAAATAACTTTGTCAATAAAAAATGTTGACATATAGAATCAATATATAATATATAAATATTAGTATAATACACTATCTGTTAGTTTAAATCATTCAAATTGATACTAATAATTTTTTTTTGTTAAATTAAAAATACATTACTATAAACTACCTTTATATTTAACATTTTTTATAATTCATGACTACATTTTTAGTGACAAAAAAAGAGTAGTTCCTAGGTCCTAACCCGGCCAACTCAAGGTAAAATAGGTATTTTTTAAGTAAACGTTTAGGAGAAAATGTTCAATACGATCAATTCGGACTGAGTATTGAATCTGTCATCCCTCGTGAAACTCAATCCAAGCCTTGCACAATTCGATTAAAAAAAAAAACTTTTCTTTTTCTTCACTTTTATTTATATATATTTCTTTCATTTCAAACAACATAAAAATATATTCATTTACTAATCGATTCCATTCTATTTATTTTTTATACTGTTTTAGTTTTTAAAACTAATCAAAGTGTAACATATTTTTGGTCAACAAATTTTAGCCCTTGAAACAGAGCAAGCGTTCTTCAGTTCTCGACCTGCATGTATTTAGAGGTGGGCAACACCTGAAGGCCTACCAGAAACTAAGGTAACCAATTAAATCCGTTTCTGACCGAACAAAATCGTTAATTCCTCAAACTTCTAAGACTATTGTTTTAATGCATCCTGGTTTTCCTTAAAACAAACTATGGATAGATGAGTGTGGGGAAAGGAACCTTCCATGCAAGATGGGTGTACTAGCACAAGTTAGAATTCAGATTTTAGAGTTCTGTAGCAAGTGAATTATCCTCCTAACCATATGGGTCAGAACTCTTCCTTCGTTCCATGGCTCGTTGAGTCTTCCCATTCCTTTTCATTCTTCTCTTGTAAAACATCCATAATCATATAGGGAATTTTATTCCAAGCTAGAATAGAGCAAGAAAGAGTCCATAGAACAGAGTCATAACTGATCAAACCACCCGATCTTTCCGTATAAATACTCAAACCAAAAATTCAAATTACCTGATAACTTGATGGTTAGAATCGCCTAAAAATTTAAGATAGTTTGTTTACTTCAGTTCTAAATTTTATTGACCGAATCCGACCATTGCCCACCCCTACATGTATCTGTGATTGCATGGCCTTTCTACTCATTGAGGCTTATGCCTAGTATTTTATATTGGGTTTAAACCTTTGGGTCACTTAATCTAATTTTTTTGTTGAAAAAAGGGTTGATCCTTAAAAAAGGGGTGTTGTTAATAGTAAATGTTTTAGTTATTTTAAAAATAAACAATAAATAACTTTATATTTTTTGTAATATTTATTTATCAAACTTTTAGATATGAGAAACTTTATAAATATCATTATGAGTTGAATCTACGTTATGCCATAAATTTTAATTTTTTAATTTCGTTTTTATAATAGATGAAATTTAATTATAAAAAATAAGTTTTATCTATGTAAATAAAATTTGTAATGACGTGACAAAAAAACTTAAACATAAAAATTATTTTAAAAATATATTATTTTAATAATTTATTTTTTTAATATTAAAAAAACACAAAGCCCTTGTTTCAACCTGTAATTTGGGCTAAATAGAGAATGGGCCCAACAAGTTATTGAAGACGGCAATAATTGAAAATTTGCTTTTGACGAAAAAAAAGAAAGGTTGATCAAAGAAAAATAATATTATAGAAAAAATGTAAAAACAAATATATTAGACAAAATTAAATAAAATAATGATTTTTATTTTTCCTTAAAACAAAAAAAAAGAAGGAAAGAAGAGGAGGAAAGCCCTAAGAGGTGCCCTGAGCAACATATATATATATATATATATATATATACTTTTTGAATAAACCCTAAACCCAATTTCACTGTAATCGAGCTTCTCTTCCTCTCGCGACTCGCTCTCTACGTTGTTCCTCCCAAATGGAAGTACCAATGGAGTTTTGGGGTACCTTCTAATTTTTCTTCTTTTTGTTCCTTTTTTGTTTTCAGTTTTTTCTTCTTCGACGTCACTTTCTAATTTTTCCAATCTTCAAAATCTCGTTCATTTCTCTTCATTTAATGTTTTTCTTACCTCACAACAGAACACTTATATAGCTATATTTTCCGTCCGTCTTCATATTTCTCCTCGATAACAAACATAACGGATTGCTGTTTTTGTTGTGATTATGTTTTCATTTCTCTCATTTTATATTTTCACTACTGCAAAATTATTATTTAAATTAGGGAATTTAATGTGTTACTGTGTTTTAGTTCTAGATTGTTCTTTTAAATTGTTAGATTAAAATTTCATTGCTAATAATTCTTGGCTGCTGAATTGTGACAATGTAATGTATCATGTGTTTGTTTGGAATTTAGGTGTTGAGGTGAAGGTGGGTCAGTCTGTTAAGATAGACCCAGCGGAACCATCAAGTGGATACATACATGTTTCGCAGGTTGCACTTGGGGAGGCTAAAAAAGACAAAGCAAGTGAACCTGTGGTTCTGTACTTGAAAGTTGATGACCAGAAGTTTGTTTTGGGAACCCTTTCTAGGGATGATATTCCTCAACTATCTTTGGATTTAGTTCTCGACTCGGAGTCTGAGTTTTCCCACAATTCAAAGAGTGCCAGTGTTTATTTTTGTGGATACAAAGTTCTAACGTATCCTTGATATCACACTCTTGATTTATTATAATTTGGTTTGCCCCATTTTGGTGAAACAATGCCTTTAATGTTCCACATGTGAGATTGTTTCTGGATTTTTATTTTTATTTTTCATTTATAATAAGTTTAGACTCATGTTTGAATGGGTATGAATCCGCATTAACTTACTGTATGTTTGGATTTGCATAAAAATTTGGTGAATGGACGTTTAATTGCTAAAATAAAGCCTGTGAAGCGTTAAAAATATGCATGTCTTTAGTGTTTTAATACCGGATCAAACACACATTTCAATACTACTATTTGTAACTTTTCTGTTGGTTCTATGTTTACAAGTTTTTGAACGTGTTTTCAAACTCACATTTCATTTAAAGGTTGATTGAATTTGTTCATGTGATAGTTGTGTCAGTATGGCATTTACAATTAATATGCATCACTGCTTCATCCTTCATGTTTCCTTAACTTCTGATGTGTTCCCTGTGGCACTAGTGACGATGGCAATGTTTCTGACTTTTCTGGTGAAGCTCAATTGTTTCTATTAAACTTGTTATTATGTTTTAATTAAGTTGGTTTCTCAAACCTTGTTTTGTTTTGTATGGTTTGGACAGATAGTGATGATGATCTTGCACTGAAGGGCCAAGATAATGGTAGATGTTTCCTCTTATCATCTAAATTTATTGTTAGCTGTGCACATTATTAAGTAAGATAATCTTCTTTTAGGAAAACCTGAAATCAAAGCTGAAGTTGCAAAAGTTGCTAAAACTCCAAAACCTGTTCCAATGGTTGGTGCATCAGCAGAACAAGTCAAGATTGTTGATCCGAAGAAAGATGAAAAGGATGAATCTGATGACGATTCTGATGATGAGTCTGCTGATGAAGATGATTCTGGAAGTTCTGATGAGGTATTTTTGTCACTCTGGATTGGAATCACATATTTATGTTATTTGTTTCCCTGTGTGTGAGATGTCAAGATGCATTCCTGTAATCCATTTTCCACAAAATTAGAAAATGATGCACTTTTCCAATTTTTCTTCTTCAATACTCTTAAATTCCTTGTTGATTTTCTTGTGTAATACTCCACTATCCATTATTGTAGATGGATGCTGATAGTGACAGTGATGAGGACAGTGAGAGTGATGAAGATGATGAAGAGACCCCTGTTAAGAAGGTAAAGGTAGCGCCATTATATTATGTTTCCCTTTTTTTGTCATATATGATTTTCTTATGTTGTTTGTGACTTTATGTTTTGAAGGTGGAACTGGGAAAGAAGAGAGCCAATGAGTCTGCGTCAAAAACTCCAGTTCCCAACAAGAAAGCCAAAAATGCTACTCCTGAAAAGACTGGTGAGGCTATCATTCGTGTAGTTCTTTGGATTTTATATTGAATTTTGTCCCGTTCCTTCATTATGTTGTCCAAGTCTATGCGTATACTTTCTTAAGTAAGTCTTTTATCGATGAATGTTAACATATTGAGTTTGTACCAGACTACCAGTTGTGGACATAAAAATAATTTATTTTACATATCATTCTGCTTGTTGAGGGGCACATGTTAATGCTTATATTAACGACTGTTAATTTTTAATGTGTACTCAATGTTTAACTTACATTGTGCACTTGTCATTTTTTTATATTAAAATTTGTGTCGTAGATGGTAAGAAATTTGTACACACGGCAACACCTCACCCCATGAAGAAGGGTGGAAAGACGCTCAACAGCGGTGCAAAGGGCCAGAGTCCCAATTCTGGTGGACAACTATCTTGCAAAAGTTGCAAAAAGTATGGTTTTCTTTTTCGGGAAATAGTAACAAATATTACTTTATCTAACCTCAAATAATAGTTTATGAAGTTAATATCATGAATTTTGACCTACATTTTTTTGTTTGTCTAGATCTTTCACTTCCGAAAGTGGTCTGCAACAACATAATAAAGCTAAGCATGGAGGTCAGTAACATTGCATTTTACATGCCCCGATAGAAATTTTCCTTGTGAGGAATGTCGTTTATGGCGAATTTGGAAATTTGTTTTGACGTAGCTGAGCTCCTATATATTAGAATTGCTGCGTTTAATCCTTGTTTTTTAGTCGTTTAATCGAGTGCTTCCAAAATTTTGTTTTGACGCTGGGTGCTTTGTTTTTTCCATCGTGTTGTTAAAGTCTCTTGCTAATCTCATTGTTATCACTTAGCGACCAATTAAGTATAGCTACGACTTGCGCCTTATAGGATGGGCATATGCCCCCTATATAAATTACTTTCTATCTAAAAATATTTGAATAAAAATATGGATATGGAGATTTTGTGTGGAACAAAATTAAAGATGAGAGTATGATTGTTGTAATTAAAAAAATTAGAAGACTAAATTCGGATAAAAGTTTATCAGGAGACAACATTGCGCTTTAATCTTTGTAGAGGACGAAAAATATATTAAAAGTTTCATTATCTATTTGGCTATTGAATGTTAACTATCCGAAATTACATTTCTTGTTACGTAATAGTAACAGATCTGGATCCAGATCCAGTGCAATTAATGCAAAAACTGGATGTTCGATTTTATTTTAAATAAGTGAAAATAGACTTGCTTAAGTGAAAATTTAGAAAATGACACTTTTTTTTTTATGTAAAATTGGCTTTAAGTTAATTTTTTTTTAGCTTAAGCAAATTATGTTAGTTTAAGTGAATTTTGTGTATTTGAAGATATGAAAACTAGGTATAAGAGATAGAGAGAATTGAGAAGGGTGGTGGTGGAGGGAGAGGAGGGTGAAGAGTTTGAGATGGAGCAAAGAGGGAGATATAGGTATGAGGTAGAGTGGTGGTGGAGGGGGAGGAGGGTGGAGAGTTTGGAATGAAGCAATGAGAAAAATATAGGTATGAAATAGGGTGAGAGTGAGAAGAAGAAGAGAGAAGTTGAGCATGGAGTGAAGGGAAGGAGTTGGAAGAGAAATAAAGGAGTTAAATTGTAAGAGAAGGAGGAAAGTTGAATATGGAGGTGAAAAAAAGTTGAAAAGAGAATGTTAAGCAAGAGGTGAAGCAAAAGAGAAGATTGTGAGAAAAAATGCAAAATTTACTTCAGTTAACATAATTTGTTTAAGTAAAGTTAACGTAATTTGTTTAAATAAATCTGTAAAATTTGTTTAAGCCAATTTTAAATAAGAAATTTGTCATTTTCTGTATTTGCATTTTTGCTTATTTTTGTATAAGCAAAAATGAAACTGAACATTGCTGGGCTCTTTTTATTCCCATAAATACTGGATAACTGAATGTATTTGATTTGAAAAAAAAAAACTGGTAATTTAAACATGATCAAACATAAATAAAAAATACTAATATATTCTTATGAAATAGAACTAAAATGATATAAGATCAAAATGTCATTTTTGATTACTCCTTTCTGGTAACGTATATATATAATATCATTGTTTTTGCGTTACTGTGTAATGTATTTTTTTTAATTATAAATTAAGTAGTTTTGTTGCGATGTATCTTTAAAAAGAAAATACACTTTCACTTCAGCAAACACAAAATTTAAAAAAGAAATTTGCTCCCTTTTCCTAATTAGATTTCATTAGGAGTCTCTCTTACGAAACATGTCAACATTCTAATTATCATAATATTCTATTTTTATTTCTTAATTACGTAATATTGCCTTGTTTGACAAAAGGTTCATTTATATACAATAATTATATTGTAGCGGGTATAGTTTAGTGGTAAAAGTGTAATTTGTTCCATGGACCCTTTAATAGTTAAGGGGGATAATAGTTAAAGGATCCCGCGTTTGATTCATATGCCGATCGAAAACTAGAAAATTTGAGTTAACTGGATTCGTATCTAATAGTAATCTTTTATACGTAACCCAATTTGCCTAAACAACGAGTTGGATACTGTGTAGAAGTTGTTGGTTATTTTTTGGTTTTTGTTATTTTTTTGTTGTTGTGTTTGTTATGATATTTTTAAACTTTGGGTCTATTAAATACTCTCTAGATTATATTAAAATATTAAAGAATATTTGTCTTTTTTAAATATATTCTTAACTCTATTACTAAAATTAATGGTTATAATTATTTCACACATACGATATAAATTACTAATTTTATTACAATATTCGTAAACATGAAAAGATTGGATATACCTATCGTTTCTTTTAATATTAAAGATTAAAAAATGTCTTATAAATAAGTCACTAATTTTATTATTCATTAATATGAAATTAAAAATATTTTAATATTTTATTAATTTACAACATGTGTTAAAAATTAAATATTAAAAGATATTTATATTTTTTTAAATAAATTATCTTCATTTTTCATCACTACAATATATCATTAATTTCATTTTACGTGAAATGATATTCATTAACATTTATAATTGTTTAAACATTAATAATTTTACTTGAAATGACATCAAATATAGAATTTCTTTTCTATCTTTTTTTTCCAAAGATTGTATTAAGAATGAAAGAGAGTCGAACTACATGAAAGGGAGCCTAAAAACCAGGGCCCAAGGCAATACAACAATGCCATTAGAAAAAATACAAATAATCGACATGCTTGCCTCACAATCTACCCCAGATTGAGCTTACACACCACATAATCTGTAAGACCGATGTGGCTAACTCCCGCTGGGGGAATATTAGAGACCCATGCAGGCCTTAGGCTGCCTCGGATAAGTAGTGAAGCAACGAGGTGAGCAGCTTTATTAACCTCCCTCTTTGTCCAAGCCAAACCCACTTATCGAAATCTGTTGACAAGGATTTGATGTCATGGATTATCGGAAAGATATTGAAGCACTGGGAATTATCTCCGCATGCATTAATGACCTCCACGTTATCTGACTCAATGATAACATCATTAAATCTAAGGTTGATAGACAGGACCATAGCCTCTCTGATTGCCATTGCTTTTGCTACTATGGGAGAAGGAGCGAAGACCGTTCTTCCTAGACCCATCTGGACATTAGCATGATCATCTTTTAATGTTAGGAATAGTGAAAAAGGTTGAAAAAAAAAAAAGGAATGATGAAAAATGATTATGCACTGTTCTTCTAGTTGATACCAAGAATGAAATCAATCTAGGACAAGATAATTTTTGTACGGGATAAAACACTACTCAGTCATTTTCTGCACCCTTTCGGTTACATTAAAATAAATTAACAAGTTGCTGAAATTTTCTAAGTCTGCTTGGACTTAGAGAGTATGCTTAATTCCTTCTGGTTGAGTTTAGTTGGCCATGTTTTATTGATTTGATTTCTTGTCTTTAGTGCAAGTATAATGGCACAAAGAGGAGCACACGAGGGAACTTTGGCTGATCAACACCGACACCCTCGGCTAGACCGAGTGCCAGAATTGATTGAATCACGTCCTCCCCCAGCGGATGTTCCCCTTGCCCACACCAAACCCTCTTGGCATGCCTCGTCTAGTTCGAATGTTAATAACGAATAATTTTTTTCGTAATGAGGTTCGAGCAACAAAGCTGATATCTTCTGACTTGGTGTCGGAAGCTGGCAGGGCCCTCTTGGATGGGCAAGATAAAAGAACCAAGTGAGAATGGTACTGTGAATTCCAAATCCGAGCCATGGTGATGGCCCATAACTTGTTCGAAACCAACCAATTGCTGGAGATGGAGGTGACCCAACTGAAACAGCACCTCAAAATAATGGAGGATCGGGCTCGGGCTGCCGAGGACCGATCTCAGGTTGCTGAGAGTGCTGAGAAGGCTAAGGGTTTGGAGTTAGTCGAGGCCTTGGCGAGGGAGCAGCGAGACAAGCAAAAGGCCGAGAAGGACAAGGAGGCGTTCATTGACGATTGCTATAGCAAAATTATTGCTGAGCACGAGGCTGGATTTTATCATGCTGTTAGGCAGGCAACCGAATTTTGCGAGGTTCCCGTGGACTTCCACTTCGATTTGAAGAGGGACTTCTTTCATGTGGAGTTCTTAGGTTATGACAAAGTGGCCGATGACGTAGAGCCCGATACCAAAGCTCCTTGCCAGACTCGACCAGAATCTACCAAAGAGGTTGCTACCCATTTTGAAGATGTCGACTTGGTTGAAAATGTCACTGCGAACCAAAATTAGTGAGATCAATGAGTTATGTCGAGGGAGGGTATAGTTAAATATTTTTTGCTTTGTATTTCTTGGGCCATTAGTGCTCTTTTTTGCAGTCTCTTCGGACTTTAAATGCCTTTGAATTGAATAGATAAGGTTTCTTTTTCATATTTGACCTGTGAATTATTTGATATCTCTAAAAATAAGGTTTAAAATAAATAAGTTAAAGCCGATTAATTGGATAATTTAGTCTTTTCTTTATTAGTTCATCATTTTAATTAACTTGTTAATTTATTTTAACATGAATGCTCCTTGTCCAAAAGTGAGGCTGAATAGGTGTGGGTATTTTTCGTCTTTAGTCCTTAGGTGAAGTTGATGAAGTATTCAGTTTTCTTTTTATATGAAAATGATAGGATATTCAATTTCTTTTTTATGTAAAAATAACTAAGTAGTATCTTATTCAGAACACTTGTCCCTCAAGTTCGAGGATGGATAATGTAAGGGCTTTGAATCATGGTTTCAACAACTTGTTAATTTAGTTTAATATAGCTGAAGGGGTGTGGGTTCTCCTTGAATACTCTTAGGAGATATTCGATTTTATCGGTCATGTTAATTTGGCTTAAGAATTCAACTTTTTAATAAGTTTAGATAATATATTACTAAAGAATTTGAATTTTAAGAAATTAGATTTTCTTCATTTTTTTATATGCAATACGTCTTATTTACATTCATACTCAATCAACATAATGTAAATCACTGTATTGAAGAAAAAAGGATACCAGCAAAATTATAATATATCAATTTGCAAATGATATTTGCATACAAATTGGTGGGTAATGGTGATCGGTGTCTCCGACAGTAAAATAGTGCATCCATGCAAAGGCCAAATAAACCATAGCAACGAGCATACGTGATATAGTGAATGACAATAATTATTGTTCCTTGGTAAAAACAAAAACAAAAAGAGTCAATACATAATAAGAAAAATTATGGTATCTTGGAAGCCTAAAATGCAGAGGAAAACAAGAAAGGGCTCACTACTTTGATGCATTCTATCACTTATTACTATTTAATAATGCATAGAACGACCTTTGGTTAAAATTATCTCAGAACAGAGGAAAGTATTCCTGAAGCCTTTAGATTTAAATTATATTGAAACATTTATCAAGCAGCTGGTTTGCCCGAGTGGTTAAGGGGGAAGACTTAAGATCTTCTGCACATAAGTGCGCGTGGGTTCGAACCCCACAGCCAGCAATTTTAATCGATGATTTCTTCATTTTCGTTTTATCGCTAAAGTGGGCTTTTATTTTTTTTCTTATCAGTAAACTGGGCCAAGGTGATGTGGCTCAATTAATTCCTTAACTCCCGATTGCCCAATATGACAGCTTAAGCGCTCTATGATTTATCCCGGGCATCCTATATTTCTGCATCACTCTATTAAAATCGTAATACAATTGCATTATATATAAGCCATTTGATATAAATAAAATATTTTTAAATTGTAACTTGATGGTTACAAAATTACTCAAACCATTAGAAACTTTTCAAGTAATTTTTGGGAGAAATGGGATAAAAATAAGGCTTCCATGGTAGTCATCCTTGTTTGAAAGTTTTTGAATGAGTGAGGATGATTTATAAAACTTTAAAAATTTTCTTAACTTTATATTTTAAATTCTTCCAATTTGGAGAGTTATGTATTAGTACTCATCCCTTCCCCTCTCTTCTCTTACCCTTCAAACACTTTCTTCTCCTCTCTCTTTAAACTCCCAAACAAAGCCTAAAAGAATTCTCCTAATATATAATAACCAAAGGACAAGTTTGTGTTCTTAAAATTTAGTTCATATAATTTAAAAGATAAAATAAATATGGAGAGTATAAATCAGTTGGTAGGAAACTGTTTTATGTTAATCAGTAATTTTAAATTAAAGTTTTGAAAATATAGTTGGATTAACATTTAAGAAAGAACTTTGTTACGTTTATTAATCTTGCCTAATTCGAGTCCGAAAAAGATAAATAAAACCAGTAAAAAAAGATAAAGTGTAATTACAAATATCAATAATTAAGATATATTTTAGTAACTATAATTTTTATATATACACATAGATTTTATCATAATCTTAATTTTTATGTTTCAATCATAATTAAAATTTGAAGTTACCCATTAAAATATATTTTTATACTTTTAAGGAGTCATATATTAAAAATTCCCAGTGTTAAAGCCAATTGGGTTACAAGAGTATAGCATTTCTTGATATTCCTCGTCTTCTTCCAATTTGGGAGAGAGGCAATTTTTGGCTCAACACTCATTTTTCGGTTATGGTAGAACGATCCCTTAGTGGGGTCCTTAACAGGGAATGATTATTGAGACAGAAAAGGAAAACGTGAAAGTAAGAGTATTTACATGTACACTTCATTATTCTCACTTTATGTGTCCACTTCTTCTACTAATATGGGATATATTAGACAAGCTTCTTTATCACCACACGTATATGCAATTTTCGCACTATTGCTGATTATATAAGGTTTTAAGTATATTTGTAAGTAGCAAAAAAAGAATCATAGACACCCACTTAAAAAATACAAGGAAATCCAAATGCAAAGTCATTAGTAATTATCATTTATCAAATATACAAATGTATAAAACCTAAAAAATAGTGCAGTGCTACAATAAGGTCAAGATGCTCACAACTAGGTGTTTATCAATAGTATAGCATCATTGTTGGAGACTGGGAGTGTAAGATTTAAATCTGTGTTGAAATTGAAAAACCATACAATAGTACTGAAGGAATCTTATAACATGGAACAAAAGTTGAAGGTCCAGCTTGAGAAGAAATAGGGTTAGCGTTGAGAATGAATACCACGTAAAAGCAAAATTAAGTTGGCACTTTGACCTTTGTTTTATATCACCAAGATAAGCTTTTGAGAAAAATCTTACCTTGAAAGTTTCTATCAAATAAAGAGCACAATCATTGTGATATACCCTTTTAACTAAAGGGTAAAAATTATGTAGGTCCCTTCCAATGATCTTAAGAACCTTAATTTGATAGCACCCATCTTATTATATTAGCCTTAATATACCCTTATGAGCCTGTGAGGACAAGGATTGCGTGTCTTTACAACTTTCCCTCTGCCAACAAGATTAGAGAGTAATTTAAAGGGATATAAAATAGGGGAAAGGTAACACAGATAATGACACTTCAGCTTGAAGTAACCAAAATGAAAATTCATGATTCTTGTCATCACAGGTTATATATGACTGAGCATCAGGCATGAAAGTATTCCTAAAAGGGTCACTTTGTTATTTTTAATCCTTTGGTGAAACCCAAAAGGATACTTTATGTCAAAAGAACATCATTTTGAAGCAATAATGTGATACATTAGATTGAACCATTTGCATTAAGACAACTGGCTTAAGAATATTAGTCAGTTGAAAGAAATTATGGTTGATAGTATGGTTTAGAGAATACAACAAACAGCACATGCATCGCTGCATGTGATCTCTTATCTTAATGTTTATTTGTATAATACGTGGAAGAAATGAACAAAAACTGCAATATGGCATCCCATGCTTTTCCCTCATAGTAAGACAGGTATTAAATAGGGGGGGGGGGGGGAAAGAAAAGGAATAAAAGGAAAAAAGACTTCTTTTTTTGAACTAATGAAAATGACTGGATTTAAGAACTTCTGAAATTTGCAATTATTTGTTTTCTTGTCGGAAGGTTCACCAATCAAATATCTTGTAACTTTATAAAAAAAAAAAAAAAGCATGAAAGTGTGCTTATGAATAAAATTATACATTGGAGCTTAACCGTTAAGCAGAGGCAGAAGTGTCGGTATGAGAAAGCAAGGGAATATTTGCAATTTTTGTAACTATAGTCTTATTTTTAATAACTTCCTTATGGAATATTTTCAAAAATAAACTATTATTTTCTAGAAAAAGCCATCCTAAACATTAGAGGCCACCGAGATGAATCATTGGTAAGAATTCAAGGATCCTTATTATACTCTGAAGTTCTCCACACAAATAATAGTCACAGAAGCAGCAAATGATTGCATGTATGGTAAATAAAATTCATTCCTTGGGGGAAAAAAATGACAAATAACATGAATTAGAAGCGCATTTTTATCCACCAGATTATTTGGCTCAGACTAAGCAAAACTAATAAATAAAGGACCCACGAAATATATAACTATAAAATCTCACAAAACAATCTATGCAAACAAAATCACACTGTCTACTCCATGTCTAAGGCTCTAATTTAAGTGCTTTCTGGTAGATCTTGGTTCTCCTTAAGCCTGTGTAATGCAATTCTAATAATAACACCACCCTCTGCCTGTGATTTGTATCTTCTTGATTGATGACAATGAAATCTTGGAAAGAACTTTTCTTTCCAAAATTGAAAATGAGCTTCTTTAAACTAGCTGTAGATGATTTGGTACAGCCTTTTGCTGCTTGAAGAAATTAGCCCCCCTTCATGTATTTTGCAGAGGAGAAACTAGAAAAATATGAACACAACATTGATGAAACTTGAGTAACTTGAGATCTTGGCTCAACCAGCTTTACACAATGGTGCCAACATAGCCAAATCCTACAATGGAGAAAGTGATTGTCTGAAGGAAAAGGTAGATAAAGTAGTTGTGTTTCCCATGCACAAAATCATAGCATCCACAGAAGAACAGGAAGATAGCAAATCCCAGCTCCAGTAAATTAAGTCTGTTATTCATCAAACAAGAAAAGAAAACATTAGACATTAGTTAATACAAAAAGTAGATAAAGTATAATTGGGGACCTAATATTATTCAAAGAAAACAGATATGGATAGCATTTAGAAGCCTAATAATAAAATGTAAGACCTCAAAGTACATATGTTACTTCTAAATAATGTGGTCTGGTTAGTGAGATTTGATTAAGACATAAAGTACATTCAGACTTCTCTTTTAACAAGGGCTATGTTGGATCAATAAAGTGAGTTAATAATGAAGTGGAGTAGAAAAGTGGGACAAAACAAAACTTCTTGATGAGAACCTGAACCACTCATTAAACTCCCAAACAAAACCGTATAGTTATTATATATTTTGAGCTCACTGTAAATAATTTTAATATGGGTTTTCTAAAATCTTGACATGTGCATGTGGTTGTCTAAAATTACCTGTCATGTTCATGTGCATGTGACAGAAACGTTTTGACAAGGATAGCATGCTGCTTAATTGGAAAATGGAATTAAAAAGAATTTCTTACCTACTCAAAGAATCTTAACTGTTAAAAGTGAAGAATAACTAAGTCACTAAGAAGTAGGAACCACCAAATTGTCAGGAGTGCCATATATTATTTCCTTGCAATCATTAAATTATTGACCACACTGTCTAGAACCTATCTCCGTAATGGCAGTGTGTATGATTGACAATCACAAATTCACAATCAAGATGCAGACTTGAAACTACAATGCCAAATGCTCATACAATTATTTGTTCTTGAAAATTAAAAATAGAAAAACTGACCTTTCAACAAATTTGGATCGAGTCTTTTTGGGGGTGGCTTTGACATTATTCTTCTTGGCAGCATCTCCTGTTTTATTCTTATTATTGTTGACAGAATCACCAAGTTTTTCAGTTACAACCCATTCATTGGCCCTTCCAGCTTCTAGTAGGCCTATAAAGGTTGCCTTGGTACGGTGCAAAGACATCACATTCTCAAAGAGGATCCAGTAGAACAAAAGGTGAATGGACCTGCAAAATTTCCACCCAGCTTTTAACAAAGAAATGGAAGCGAGGCATGTTTGGAAGAACTCATGAACAACTTAAGAAAATAGTTCATGACTTTTGTGCTCTTTTTAGCATATTTCAACAAGTTTCGTGACATAAGTTATCAAAATAAGTTATTTTCAGTTTATGCCAATAAGTTTCATGACTAAATTTATGGTGTGAGTCATTATTTAAAATAGTTTATTAAATAAGTGCTTAATTAAGCTATATATCTAAATGCATCTTAAGCTTAAGATATAATATGAGAAGTAAAAGAAGAGGAAATCACACCTTGGCGTTCCAACTGAATTGAGAATGGTAATGACGGAAGGAATATAAACAGCTCCCCATATTGGAACATGAACCTCAGGGATCAAAATTGTAAGGGGAATCACAACACAGTAGAAGAAGAAGGTGACCATGTGAGCTATGATTTTTCGAACAAAGAAGAAGCTGTATATAACGTACACCTTCTTCCAAAACTTAACTTTCTGCAAAATTGTGCATAAAAGAATAAGCGAACATTCGAACATATATTGAAATGTAACCAACTTTCTTGTTCTTCATTCTTAATTAACATAATCCTTTTCCCCCTCAATGCTTATTGTACATCAACTGAAAAAACTAACCTTGTTTCTTACTATCTCCATCACCATTTTGCGGAACAGATTAGCAGGACCACAAGACCATCGATGCTGCTGGAATCTGAAGGCTCTCAAAGTACTGGGAAGTTCACTTTTTGCCTATATATATGAAGTTGTTTACCATTGAAAAACAATGTCACCAATACTTAGAAAGAAAATTAAAATGATATATATATTCATAATCATACGATTCATATTCTCCACTATTTGCATGCAAAATATTGTTAACTTTTTAGGAAAAAGTAATAACTTGTTCATAACCTCTTTCAAGAAGCTGAAAGAAGAAAAAGATTATTTCTTTAAAATAAGTTGAACTAAAGTGTACTTATTTTTTTGTGGTCAACAACTAAAGTGTACTAAGTAAATGGAATATTCACCTGAAGGTCTCCAAGGTACAAAAATTTCCATCCCCTAAGACTAGCACGAACTGCAAGGTCCATATCTTCCACTGTTGTTCTGTCTTTCCACCCTCCTGCTTCATTGATAGCTCCTATTCTCCAAACACCAGCTGTACCTGTATTAAGGTTCCAAAACAACAACTATCTTAATAATGATCATTAACTAACCAATCTATGCCATGACTATGTACTATGTAGTATATGTGTCACATTATACTGTAGGAAAGGTGATGAAACCTAAAACGTTTGGAAGAGGAGAATGTAAATAAATTAAAGAAAATTTTAATATTAGCTATTAAGGTTCAGTTTATATAATTAAAAGTAATAAATTTTTATAAAAAAAAATACAAAATTCAATGCAATTCAGCACATTGATGTAAACTAATTACCGTTGAAACCAAAGAAAGCATGAGTGGCTGATCCAACTTCTTGCTCCACAGTGAAATGGTAATCCAGAGACATCTCTTGCATTCTTGTCAACAAACACTCATCCGCATTCACTGTTACAAAACCAATCACTCCCAATGTAAGTAAAACACATTCCTTAAATGGTAATTAGCAATTCATTTTTCATTAAAAAGGTGAAAATCATTAAATGAGAAGCAGTAATAATCAATCCACAGGAAACTCAAAAGGAAAAGAAAAACAGTTTTTGACTTTTCACGAGCTTTTTCTTTTGTTTGGTGAATTTAACTTTTTCATAAGCCAAGCACACAATCTCAGCACAAATGACACAACGCCATCTTGCCGTTACAGTGACCACAGCCACAATAAAGTAAAAGTCAGCTATCGCCCCCACACAAGCACATGACACATTAATTTTTTTCCAAGTAAATAAATGTTACGAAAATTAATTCAATATGAGAATGTGAGCAGAATTAAATTAATCAATTTACATTACCTAACATTAATTTTTATTCAATAGATAATGAGTATTATAATTCAATCAATTTACGTACAAAAAAATTATCAATTTGATTAATGTTTTGTGCCCAATGACGTAATAAAAAGAGAAGGGGAATTGGTGAAGTGTCGGCAAGGAAGGATAAGGTCCACCATTAGGCACATGGTACTACCCTCACTGACACTGTTGTTAGTTTTTTTTTTTAATCTAAACCCAAAAATCCTGCAAAAGCACGTGGGAAGTGGGTTCGCTGGAGTGGGAACTTTGAAGTTTGGATGGATTCATAAAAAGACAAATTTGCCCCCTGCCACCATTTTCTTTCCCACAGTTGCCCCACGTTTCATCACATATCCATCGTAGGGTAATAAAGAGTGTCAGACTATGCTGGGTCATCTCTAGAAAAAATATGACAGATCACAAATTTAATTGTATTTTACATCTTATTTCATTGGGTAAGTTATTTTAACCCTTCTTGCTTTGCCTAATTTGTAAATTGTAACATAATACTAAACTTGAATGGACAAAATTACCCCCTTTCGCTTAATAATAATTTTAGCATTTTCACAATTGGTTGGGGCAAAATTTTAGAAGCACAAAACAATAATAATAATAATAATAATAATGCACCCCCCACTTATGATTATGATATTTGAATGCAGGTATGCATAATGGCATGAATGGAGAGTTATTTCTGAGCTAGAAAACAACTAGAAGTAGAAAGAGATGCGCTTTTATTTGTTTCTTCTTTGCCATCTTTTTCTCCAATCTTTCACTTTTTATTTTACTACTCTAAATGGGGACATGATCGTGAAGGAAAACAAGCTTCACAAGAAGCGTGACTGGGCTCGTTTGTGGGCCCCACCCGTGATTGAAGGATTTGTTTTCGTGGACCTTAGTGGGCTAACCAGGTCAATCGAGGACAAAAGGGAAAGTGAAAGTCCACACTAAACATTTTTTCTTTAAATTAAAAATGGAAAAACGAAATCCCACCGACACAATATGAATCTAGCAATCATCAAGTGAAAAATAAAAGATTGGTGTCAATGTGTCTTAAGTGAAGTCAAAATGAGTGTTAAAAAAGCATAAAACCAAGGTGAAATGCAATAGTAATTAAAAAAATTTACTGCTTTGAGTTTCTTACCAAATCTCCAACGAGCTTGCACAAGAGCAATGTCAGGGTTGCCCACTAAGAAAGGAATGGCACGCCTTAGAAAATCAGGTTCTGGCCGGAAATCTGCATCGAAAATGGCCACATATTCGCAGTGCTTCACATAGTTGCGTTTTAGACCTTCTTTGAGAGCACCTGCTTTGTACCCCGTTCTGTTTTCTCTGATTTGGTACGTTATGTTTATGCCTTTGCTTGCCCATCTTTGGCACTCCATCTCCACCATTTGCTACAATAGTAGTTTTGCATTCACCTCTCAATGTCATTACTTTACTTCATAAAATTAAAGAACAGTACACAAATTTAATATGCCCATTGATTCATCCACCAAAACCCCAAATCATAAATGCAACCCCTTCATGTATTCACACTTCAAAAAAGTCCCAATTTTAGGATTTAATAAAAGATTAATTAGATTATGTGTACATTAGATACATAAATATATATATATATATATATATACATTATAAACTTTGTTATTAGTACCTTTATAGCAGGGTCAGTAGAATCATCAAGGACTTGGATCACTAGACGGTCCGCAGGCCATGAAAGATTACAAGCTGCTCCAATTGACACCTTGTACACCTAATCCAAAAACCAACCCAACAATTTTAATTTTCAAAGCTTCACTCTTTTTAATTTATTTTTTAGCAGAAATTCAGAAAAAAAAAAAAAAAAAAGACAGGACCATTGGAATAATGACAGAAACAAAAAACAAAGGCAGAGAATCTGTTACTGTTCCGGTTGGTTCCTACCTCTTTTTCATTGAACATTGGAATTTGCACAAGAACCACAGGGAAGTTAGAGCTTCCTAGTTCCACATCATCTTGGAGTGGCTCATACTTGTAACGTTGTTCTGGTTTCTTCCAAAAGAGCTTCACCAAGATTATGACAATGCCCATATACACCCTCTCCATGAACAGCATAAGGGCCATTGCTAAGCAAATGTACACCCCAACATTGAGCAATGGAACTATCAATGGTGCCTTGATCACTTCCCAAACCATGTTAATCTGTGCAGCCACATCCAAATTCACCCCTTGGATTGAGTCTGGGATGAAGAACTTGGGTTGAGATTCAACCATTTTGAATAGTGATCGAGTTGAGAAGAATGAGGTGAAAAATGAGTGAGATATATATTGAGTCCAAGTGTTGGTGAGTCCTTTTTGTATGGGGTTGAAATGGTAACAAAATGCCCTTCTTGGAACTTATTTAACTTTGATGGCTAAGAAGGGATGACTCACTTATGGTGTAGATCTCTCTCCTCCCAAACATGGAAAAGTAGAAAAAGTTCTCTCTACTTTGTGTACTGTTTTAAGGCCACCTCTCTCACAATTTGTGTCTACTAATGCTTCTCTATCTTACTATCACTCTGTGACTGACAGAGCAGAATAGAGGCATTAGACAGTGTGTGAGAGAGAGAAAAAAAAAGAGAGATTGGGAGAGAGGAGAGAGACTGTGAGAATGGCAATGGATACAGAGATAAAGGGGTCCCTTTATAGTCATGTTTTGATGACAGATTTTTCTACTACCAAGTTTCTATTATATTCTTATTATTTTGAGGGATTTCTTACAAATAACTCCAAATCTTCTTCCATCTATGTTTATAAAATTTATTATTTATTAAATAAAATTATTTTTTATGTTTTTAAAATGTGTATATATTATACTTATTTCATAAAATATTATAAAAATATTAACACTAATTTTTAAAGCTAAATTTAGACAAATAATAATAATACATTTATTTTAAAAATATTTATTACACTTTTATAACTTTAATATAATAAATATATTATTCTAATATAAATTAATACTTTATGTGCTTAAATTTATCATAAAATTATAAAAAAATAATATATACTTTATATGATAATTTAAAATACTCATTAACATATTTGTTTCAACATACTAAGAAAAACCGTTAAGAAAATATGAAGAAGGATATAACTTTTTTTCTTGTGTCTCTTCTTCCTCTGTTAGTCATAACAGTGTCTTTTCGTCCACTGGAAAATGTTGTTTCCCATAACTCAAGTAATCAGTAAATAAAGGTTGGTTTAATGTTTAACGTGTTCTCTTTTTCTTAATTACTTCTGTTCGAAAGGTAGCCGTTAATAATAATAATAATAGTAATAATAATAGTACTATTATTATTATTATTATTATTATATTCTAAAAGCATCAAATCGGTGTTATAAGTGCATTCTTAAAATTGTCTTAAAAAAGTTGATCTGAATTAACCTGAATCTAATATGTGCTAATGACTGAATGAGTGTCATTTACTTGGAAAGAAAATAATAATGTGCGATGGTTTCCTTGTCATTTCATAAAAGCTTTTTTAAATAAAAAATAGAAAATGCATAAATTCCAAACTAAAGAAAGCATGATTAATAGTAATAGCTGGGTGGGAAAAAAAAGAGCAAAACCCTGACCGTCACAATCTCGTAAAGTAAAAAGAATAATTTGAAATATTTCAGTAACAACTTTTTATTAATTAAAGGATTGCCTTAAAATTAGTAAGTATTTGTTTTTTATTTAATATGATTTGTAGATTATCAATAAGAATTATTAAAATTACAATAAATGAATATTACATTATTGAAACAAAATTCATACACATGAAATAGTAAATATATTTAATAAAGACACCCTAACAATTGTTTTTCTGTGTGCTTTCATTTGTGAAAAATGACATTATAAAAATAATAATTTATTGTGGAATTATCATTTTAATTATCTATTTAATTCACTTCATTATTATATTTTGGGTAAAACAACATATATTAGTATTTAACGTTCTTTTATAACATTTAAGATATCCCATAAAATTAATCTATTTTATCATAAAAGGACTAAAAATATTTTTTATTAAAGAAAAATATTTAATATTATTAATACACAGACTTAAAATAACTTTAAAAATGTTTTATTTATAAATTTATTAACCAATATCCTTAAGATACTTAATATAACAGTTTCTTTATTATATTTGTATGAAAAGAATCTGAAGCTTCCTAACGTGATGAAAACCAATCATGAGTAGATTTGGAGAATTTTTATTACATTTTTTAAATGTTATTTTAGGAAAATGTGCTCCTGATTTTATTTTTTTGTTCAATATTATATAATTATCATGCAATTCTTTATTTTACTAAATTAGAACATGGTTCTTAAAATCCCTAAGAATAAGAACCACCCAACTTTTCTAAGAGAAATTACATAATTCTAATCCTGAGTATAAATGACAGAGTAACATTGATAAAAATGGTACACACACTTAACAAGTTTGTATTCGGTAAAAAAAAAATGAATTTCAGGGATTAAATTTTATTTCCTTCTTTTTTCATTTTTTTAAGATAATATTTTTTAAAAATTTAAATATAGTGATGAGATATAACTGACCATTTCTAATCATGTATTGTCTATGTTTTGTTGTTGAGTAAACCTTTAAACCAATGTTTTAGGCAATTACCCTCATTGTAGAAAATTATCCTTTTTAATCTCTATTGTTGTTTTGTATTTGTTAATAATTGGTGTAGCTAATGATTATTAACTGTATAACCTTTATTGTTATATGATTGGAAGTCTTAAATTGTGAATTTAAAATTAACAAAATAAAACTTGATTAAAACATATTTTTTTTTCAAATCAATAACACAGGTAATTGCCATGTGAAGATTCGTGTGTATTGAATTTGTCAAGTGTGTTGATATTTGATTGTGTTTACCTTGGTCATCACTTAACGGAAGACTACTAATGGCGATGATGAAAAAATAATACCAAACTTTACAGTGATTAAAATAAAATAAAAAATAAAATCGAGGATTATAAAACAAAGCAACTAATAGTTCTATAAATTTAAAATTTATTTAATATACTTTTTATTTTGTATTTAAAAAATTATATTCTATACTTAAAGACAAATATAGTTGAAACTCATACTTTTAAAAATTTAAGATTAATTTTAATTTTCTTAAAAACCAATGTATTTGCTTTTTATCAACACAGTAAAAATAAAAATCAACGCTTTCGTCTTTAAGAGTTTCAGTTCGAATTAGGAATTTATTTATTTTATTAATTTTCTAATGATTTCTATAATAATATTTTTACTATTTTATAAAAAAGATTAAATGTATGAATACATTTACATGTTTAAAATTTTAAACTATTTAATATTTTATCTAATAATAAAGATAGTTATTAATTTATACGATTTTTTAAAACCATTATTTTATTTGTTGGCAGCCAGAGTACGGTTTTACTCTATTTTTATCTTGGAAAGCAAAGAACTAAAAGGAAAGAAAATCATCTGTGTGTTTTACTCAGAGGAGAAAGGAGAGAGCGATGTGAACTTTTTTACAGTTATTTTTAATGTTTTAATATTAACTAATCTTTCACTAAAAAGTTTATAGTAATTTTTTATTATGACTATAAAAATTTATTTGATATAATTTTATTCTCTCGTTTTTATTTATCTAAAAATAATAATTTTTTTATTTTTTAAATATTTTAACTATTTAAATAATACATTTTTATTTTTTTGTCCTTATTTCAAGCACGTCTATAAAAAAAGTTTTCATATAATGGCAGCTGCGACAACGAATCAGAAATTGGATCAATCTTTATTTTGGTTGTCTTTTTTTCATTTTTCTTATTGTTAGTATTTATTATTTTTGGATGGGGAATTATTGAAATTAAAACGACTATTCCGTTTTTATTAGTGATCTGAGAAGCCTCCACTGTTGTGGTTAAACGAAGCAGAATCAATTATGAATTCAATGAGGATCTTCTCTCACCCATGTAACTTTCTAAACTTCAGTTACGTACACTGATGACCAGTGCCTATCTGTCATTACAGTTGATGTCCGACAGAATATACGAAAAATCGCAATTTCATCTTCTTCTTCTTTTTAATTTTTCACTCTGCAGCATCAACTAAAGATAAATTGTAATATTATTAAGATGGACAGTTATCCTATACCTAAAAAGGGGGGCAAAATGTTAGGCAGAGAGTTACAATGTATGAGTGTGGATGATTTTGTTTCATTACTATTTTAAAAAGAGCACAGAATAAACTTTGTTTTCAGAAATTGGAAGTAGATGCAATCACTCCGCATGTAGTGCCTGTGGACGAGGCCTTTTTCTTTTTTATGTTTTGTATAATTAGTCAAAAGTAAAGCTTGACATATATCATATATACGAAATATTAGAAGCTACTTTGATTTGATTTGATTTGTATTCCTTTGCGGTTTTAACGATTTGTGAATGTCCAATCCAAAATGCTGTGCTGAAAATGGAGGATCTTACCGCAATTGACTCCGTACTCGAGAGTTGAAAACAGAAGGGCATCTCAAATTCTCAACTGGGACTTGGAAAACGCATTTCCAAATTCGCTTGTTTATTGCAATTTCTAAATACAATTTATATATTTTTAAGTATAAATATTTTCTTATTTTTAATCCCTGAAATTTTATATGATTTGTTTTGAAGAAAGTTTTATAAAAACATTATAGGACAAAAATCACATCGGTTTAACTGAATGTATAATTTAGAATGAATACAACATTTCTAAAAACTAAAATAAAAATATTTAAATCATAAGTAAGTATAAATTAAAATTTCTATTTTAGCTGATTAGTAAACGTAAATAAGACCGTATGGTATTTTTTATACATCTCATCACTCATTAGATGTTTTTTCTTATGTTATTTTCATGAGCAATGACCTAGGATGGTTATAGAAAGATCCTTTTTTTAATAGGGATTTTTTGTTTATGAATAGGTACTATGTTATTTTCTAGGCTCTTGTTACTATATGAGAAATACCTCTTCCTCCAATTTGAATGTCAAAGATATTGAGTTAAGACAACATGTTTATCATATCTCGTTTTTATTTTCTCATCACATATCAAAGTAACAATTGATAATCCATAAATAAATAATTTTCTTAAAGTTTTCTTTTTTTTTGGGGGGGGGGGGGAGAAAGTGAATTTCTTCTCCTTCTCTTCATAAATAAATAAATAAATCATATTGAGTTTAATTCATAGGTCATGAAGAATTAAATTTTTTTATAACAATAAATTACACATTTCATCACTTAAGATCACATATTTTTTATGAATCTCTCATACACATATGAAGTTGATTTAGCCGCTCTGTCAATTCTTAAATTTTTTTTACATAAAATTTATACATTTCATTTTATAGTTAAATTGTTTAAAACAATTTTTTTCTTAAACTCACTACTTAAAACATTAAATATTTACTAAAATTAGAAAATCTATGTTTCCTATTCAAACCCTAAACTCACATTGTATAAAATTCTTTTAAATTAACTAAACTTGTGACTTTCTAAACTTCTAATTTTATTTTATATCTCAATTTTATCACAACTTGGACACGTGAAAAAGGGAATTGGAGAGTTTTATAAAGAATAAAATTAACAGAAAAAATT